AGAGGATGCCTGAACTGTAATCAGACTGATGAATACCCCAACTATCATCATAGTGCCTTGTCCAGTAATTGATGCAACCAGACAGAGATCCACAACCAAGAATCAGGCCAAGCTCTACAAATCCAGGCAAAGAGAGGGAGGAGGGAACATATGAGCAAGGGAGGTCAAGATCATGATGGAGGAATCTACAGAGATAGCTGAACCAAGTTCATGGAAACTCATGGACTCTAGACCTACAACTTTGGACACTCCAGGGAACTGAAATAGGCCCTCCATATTGGGAGACAGTTGTGAAGCTGGGACTATCAGAGGGGCCCCGGCGGTAGGACCATCATACAAACCTGGTACGTGAGCTAGCTTGTTGAAGCCCATTCCCCACAGTGGGACTCCATGCTCACTGTTAATGTATGGGAGAGGGGCCGGGCCCTGGCCCAACCTATTGTGCCAGACTATGTTGACTCCTCATAGGAGCCCTTACCTATTAGGTGGAGTGGACTGGGGATGGGCTAGGGGGAAGATGGGGGGGATGGGAGGAGGGGTGGGAAGGAGAACTGTGGTTGGAATGTAAATGAACTAAAAAAAAAGGGGGAGAAAAAGAAATGGAAAATGGGTTTAAATTGATAGGGCTATTAAAGTGTTGCATAATTTCCTAAAAAAATACCTTTACATGACAAATATTAAAAATATTTTTATTAGAAAACAGAAAGAAAACTGAGTACTTCCCCATCCACACTTTGCCAGAAACCCTCAGCATCTTTACCACAAGTTTTAAGAGTTGTCTTCACTAGCTTTCCATCCCTCCCGGCTGCTACTTTTTTGGGTGGGAGAGGGGCTGTCATGGAGGCCTGTGTCTCTCTTTCTAACTGTAGCCATCAGCGCCACTGTGAAAGCAGCTTCCTTGCCCTTTGATTGACTTTTTAAACTTGAATTTAATACAGTGAAATTCCAGTGTGGCCAGATAATCTTTTGTGGTTATTAAACAAAAACTTAGTACAGATATTGGTGATTGAGTTTGTAAAACCTAATCTAAGGTAATTGCAAGTTGCCTATGAACAAGGAAATGAGCATTTAAAAAAATCCAGGAATCCAAAGCAGTTGATTTTAAATGGCATGGCAAAGAATGTGTAAATAGACATTTTTTTTTCTCTTATAAGAAAAATAAGCTACTGCCTGCCTGTGTCCATAATGTTCATCAAGCTTGTTTTCCTGTACATGTCTATTAAAAAGTGTGTGTGCACACACACACTCAAATTCATGTGCACTCTAGAGAGAGGGGGATGGGGAGGATGGATCTCAACACATAGCTTTCACCCGGAAAACTCTGTATAGTCTAAGCTAGCCTCAAATTCACAGAAATCTGACCATCCGCCTCTGCCTCCTGACTGCTGGAACTAAAGGATGGGTCACTACGCCCAGCAGGATGCCTTAAAAAAGTGTTGTATCCCAGGCTGGGCTGGAGCTTACCATGAACAGATGAGATCCTTGGGCTTATGATTCTTCTCCCCACTCCTGTTGGTTTGGGGTACAGGTGTGTCCCACTGTGCAGTTCATGTGGGCTGGGAATTGAACCCAGGCCTTGTGCATGCTAGGCAAACACTTCCAACTGACCCACATCCCCAAAGTGACTTTTTTAGTGTCAAGAACATCTAGGCTATGATGCCCTGATGCCTGCTTATGTTTAATATTTTATCTAATTTTAAAAAATAGTTTTTATTTTATTCTTTCAAATTCAACAGTCTTAATTTCTATGCTCCCCAGTTTCTTCATTGTTAAAATGTTCCTAACAGTTCTTTACAGATAAAGTTCTGCATCTGTAATTGAAGTCAGTATTCTAATACAGATGTTTAGAATCCCAGTTGCTAATTTTACCATGAAGCTTGGTGGGTATAAAGGGAGGGAGGCCCCTTTAGCCGGAGGGAGGGGGGACCACTCCTGATGCTCCTTTAGAACATTACAGTTCAAGCCTGGCTACCTTCTAAAGCATTATTCATTATTATTTAGGACATAATTAGTCAAATATAACTGTTTGATAAACTAGAATTTTGAACAAACAAATGCTTAAAAATTCTAATAACTGTATATAACCAGTAAATTATTCTTACTTGAATTTCCACGGCTGTGCAGAGGAGGGTTCCTAAGTACATAATTGCATAAGAGAGCCACCCAGCTTCCAGAGGAGCCATTCCAGTGAATTGTGTAAATAATATGCTTTAAAAACTCAGCCCCCTCTTATATGAATTTAGATTTTCCAGATTGGGAGTAACTTTGCACCTGTGAGACTAGAACACAGCCCTAAAAAGGCCTTCCTAATTACAGCTTTACCACAGAGACTAGAACGACCCAAAGCAAATGAATACATAGCTTTCAACTTTCTATAAAAACATTTTCACTATTCTGCTTTAGTACAGAAAACAAAAGATCTTAAAAGCCACTGGCAAGACATAAGAATGAAATTAGAAAACAATTTTTCTGATATCAACATTCTAATTTTCTTAATTGCCAAATACTTTTCTTTCATTTGAATAAACATAAATTAGATCTGGCACTTGGCTAAGTTTGCTTTAAGATTTTACAAAGCTGGGGAGGTGTGGTCAGGAAGATCAGAGAAATCTAAGGTCTTCATTGGCTATATAGTGAGTTCCAAGCCAACCTGGGATATATGAGACCCTATCCAGAAGAAGAAAAAAGTTTTGTGTACAGGAATACACGTGTACCACAACGACTATAATAAGAACAGGTGAATTTATGGCCACATTAAGGTAGCAACTTTTTGGTTTTTTTTTTTTTTTTTTTTTTTTTTTTTGAGACAGGGTTTCTCTGTAGCTTTGGAAGCTGTCCTGGAACTAGCTCTTGTAGATCAGGGTGGTCTCAAACTCACAGAGATCTGCCTGCCTCTGCCTCCCGAGGGCTGTGCCACCACAGCCGGCAAGGTAGCAACATTTTAGTATCAATTTGTGTAGCATTGTTTTTTCTTTAATTTCCTTCCTTCCTTCCTTCCTTCCTTCCTTCCTTCCTTCCTTCCTTCCTTCCTTCCTTCCTTCCTTTCTTTCTTGTAGCCTATACTGGCCTTGAATATGCAGTAATCCTTTCCCTTCCCAAAATGCTCTAGTCAGGTGTGCCCCACCCAGTGTGTCTAGTGATTTCTAAATGTTTATAAATGTTTAGATGTGGGGCCTGGCCAGGTGTGGGAATGCATGCCCTTAATACCAGCACTGCTGAAGAAGATGCAGGTGGTCTCTGTGAGTTCAAGGCCAACTTGGTCAACGTAGCAAGTTACAGGATAGCCAGAACAACATAATAGACCATTTGAAAGAACAAACAGATGTGGAGGCTGGGGAGGTGGCTCAGAGCACTGGCTGCTCCTCCAGAGGACCTGGACTTAGTTCCCAGCACCCACATGGCTGCTCACAACCATCTGTAACTCTAGTTCCAGGGGATCCAATGCCCTCTCCTACCCTACTTGCACACAAAGCACTCATCTGATACACATACACACATTTTTAAAAGTCGCACTCGTAGAACACTTTTAAAATGTTGAATTGTGGCTAAACTCTTAAATGTCTTGTTTTTAACTAAATAACAAGCTCTTTGAAACCGTGTCTTTATCAGTTGCTTTTGGTTTCAAATGCCAAGTTGCCTAATTCCCCTTTTAAATGAGGATGGGCAACTCTTTTAAAGGATATCGAGATAGTTCATGGAACTAAAGGGAAGATGTACAGTCAGGCCCCAAGACAGTGAATTTTCCATAGCTAGGATAGATCTCACTTCGGCATGGTTTATAGTTCTTCCTGATTGTTGTTGGATTTTGTCAGTATTTTGTTGAGGATGTTGCTTGTATGCTCATAAAGTATATTTGTTTGTAATCATTGTTCTGTTGCTATTGAGTTCATTCAACGAGTTTTAAACTTAAACTTATTTTCAATTCTAACATTTCCATTTGCTTCTTTATTGTTTCTTTGCTACTACTGTTTATTTCAAGAGTGTTTACCCTTAGTTACTGGAACATTTTCATTCTAGCCATATAAAAGTTTTCCAGCATCTCTATCATTTTGACTTTGGCTGACAGAAACTGAATTTTTTGCCTTTTTAGTATGCAAATTTGTGTTGTCATTGGCACTTTTTTTTAATTTGGTTTTTAGGGACAGAGTTTCTCTGTGTAGTTCTGGCTGTCCTGGAATTCACTCTCTGCATCAGACTGGCCTCGAACTCAAGAGATTCCCTTGCCTCTGCCTCCCAAGTGCTGGGATTAAAGACATGCGCCTCCAATGCCCAGCTGTCATTGGTACTTTTGATATTATAAGGCTCTGTATTTTATTGTAATCTCATTAAACATGGTTATATTTTCTGATGACCATAGTGGTGCACACTTGTAATCTCAGTGCTTAGGGGAGGCTATGGCAAGAGGGCTGTGAATTTGTGGGTTGCCATCTTACTCTAACTTCAAGAAAACCTCTGCAAGCAGCATTGAGATTTCCCCTGTGCATGATCCTTCGAGGCCAACCTGGGATCTGGTTGGTGGTCTGTATTATATTTCAGTTCTGGGAGTCTTTAGCTTGCTTGTTTGAGTTATATCCACCTGTATTCTACTGGGATGGACACTCAAGTGTTTCTGGCATCTTGCCCACAGTCCAAGTATCAGTACTGGTTTCTTAGGGCTACTTCAGTCCTGTATCTGTAAAGGCAGGCCTGAAAATGGTAATGGGTCTGGGAGTAAATGACAAAGAATGGGGGGCAGGGGTTATTTGGGGAGTGGGGAAGTAGTGAGACTTGCCTCTCCCTTCTGGTCAAAGGAGAAGGCCTCTTTATTTCAGAGTTTTGGGTTCCTGTGGGTTACTGTTTCCTAGGTGACCTTTATCATGGGATTGCTTAGAGATAATGCAGAAAAATTAAAGAGAAACGTGAGGTTTTCCATTCTCTCAGGATACCCTACAGAACTTGAGCTAGAATTAGGCTGTTTCTGGAGCCCTGTACCTACACTGATGCTCACTTTTGGGTTTCAGGCTGCAGTTCCGGCTGGTGGATATTGGAGGAATAATAAAAAGGTAAATTCATTGTTGGTTCAGTACTATACTATGTTCCCCACCCACTTGCTCTTATTTACTTTTCAGAGACCTCCAATAGCTGCCCCATGTGTTTTGGCCATTTGTGTTAGCTGAATTCAGTGGGAAATACAGGAGACATGTGCTCACCATGTCATGCATGGAACTAGGACTTTCTTTAGTCTCCTCATTGGCAATTATGCTGGTCAGCAGTACATTCTGCAGCTTCAGTCTTGTTAAACTAAAACCATGCTCCACCATGAGATCTGTCATGGTAACAAGAGTACTTAAAAAGAGTGTGTACTGTACCTGATGGCTGTAGTGCCTAAAGTTAAGTCATTAGATCAGGTTCATTTACTGCATTCTTTACTTCCTTGTGCTAATTTGTTTCAAGTACCTGAAGAATATGTATTAAAAAATCTCAAACTGGTTACAGAATTGTATGTTCTCCCTCCCTCCCTCCTTTTCTTTTTTGCATGATACTGATTTCTGGGCTTCATATATGGTAAATAAGTGTTTTTCCATTGAGTTATAGCCCCTATTTTGCTTATCATTTGGAAGTTCTGTTAGGGATACTGAAATACTTTTAGTTTGAAGCAGTTTCAAAGATGTTAAAAAAAAAAAAAAAGCAATTCACATTTTAAAAATGTATTTTGATCCAAAATACTTAATCACTTCAGCTTGCATTCAGTGTAAAGTTATTGGTGATCTGTTTTACTTTTACAAAAACTTCAGTGGGTGTTTAAACAATTGTGTTTAGAATATACACCTTCAGCCAAGTGCACGGTAGCCACAGGTGACTAGTGTTTTGTATTGAGTGAGTGCACCCAGGTGTGCACGCGCGCGCGCGCACACACACACACACACACACACACGCATATACACACACCTCTAAGTGTAGATACTGACATGATTAAGTTTAAACCATCCATTTTGTACTTGTCTCATCTGCATCTGTTTGTAAACTTGCCTTTGGATTAGTTATTTTTTGATATTTTGTTTCTTCTGTTGGCACAGCAGGAATTTTTTTTTAAATGGTTCCTTTAGTTGTTAAATATACTTTTTTTTTTTTTTTTTTTAAATAGATGAGGTTTTGCTATATAGGCCAGGGTAGCTTTCTATTCTGCCTCAGCTTCCTGAGTATGTGAGTGAGTCATAGGTGTCCACTTCCATATCATGTAATGTGCATTTGAAATGTTAATCAAGTAGTTAAAATTATGCATCCACAATCTCTAATCCCAGAATATTTCCATTATGCATGTAAAACTTACTATCTGTTATACAGCTTCTATTTCCCTTCAGCAATTGCCAGTCTATATTCTGTCTATAAATGTTTTTGTTCTGGATATTTCATTTTTTGTTTCTGGCTTGTTTTACTGGCTTATTTTTGGGGTTCATCCATGTTACATTATGTTTCAGTTTGCTTTTTAGCTACATAATGTTTTATTTAACATAGTACAATTTTTTTATTCATTCAATCACTGATAAATAGTTGGGCCATTTGCACCTTTTTGACTTTTTGACATATTGCTATGAACATATGTGTACATGTATTTGATTGAGTGCTTATTTTCAATTTTTTAATTATATGTCTATATTTATATGTATATGGGTAAGCAGAGTTACTAGGATGGTCATGTGGTAATTCTACATTCTAAAATTTGTCAAACTTTCCCCACAGTTTCTGTACTGTTTTCTGTCTCCACCAGCAACAAGCTAAGGGTTTCTGTTTTTCCTCCGTCCTTGCTATCATTAGCTTCTGTCCTGGGATTGTTTTGTACTTTGTGACACTAAGGCTCCAGCACATCTGAGTGTCTTGGCAAACCCTCTTCTGAAGTATCTGGTTGACTCCAGTGTTTTTTTTAATTGCCATCCTTCTTGGGTGTGAACTGTATGTTCTGATTTTCATTTTCCTAATGTTGACAAATCTTTTCATCTGTTTGTTGTCATTTGCATATTCATATAGAACTGTGCTTCTCAACCTTCCTAATGCTGCAGCCCTTTAATACAATTATGTTATATTGTGGTGACCCCCAACCATAAAATTATTTCCATTGCTACTGTTTGAAATATGGGATATGCAAGACATCTGGTATGTGATCCTGTGAAAGGGTCATTTGACTCCCAGTGGGGTTGTGATGTACAGGTTGAGAAGTACTGTAGAGAAATTCTGCAGGGGGTTTCTGTTTTGCTCTTTCCCCTATTTTAAAATTGGGTTACTTGGCTTTTATTGTTGTTGTTTTTGTTGTTATATAAGTTATCAAGTATATGGACTCAGGCAGTCCTCCTGTCTCAGCATCCAGAGTGAGAGCGTGCTCTAAGAACTCTGTTGTTTTACTTTTACCTCCTCCTCCTCTTTTATGTTTTATTTTTGCACTGGGGATTGAACTCAGAGTTTTATACATACAAGACAAGCTTTTCATTTTGCTATATCTCTAGTACAAAAGTTATCTGTGTATGTGCTACATGCACATGTGTGCACGCGTAGAGTCTAGAGGTCAGCCTCAGGTGTCACTTCTCAAGAGCCATTCACCTAATTCTTTGTGACAAGATCTCTCATTGGTTAGCTGGGAGCATGTCACAGGCTGGCTGGCCAGTGAGTCCCAGGGCTCTGCCGGTCTTCAGCCCTGGTATGTTATAATCAGACATCACCATGTTTGGCTTTTCACATGGGTGTTGAGGATCAAGCTCAGGACTTCATGTTTGTACAAACACTTTACTTGACGCGGGTACTGAGGTATCGGACTCCTGAAAAATTCTTTATAAATTCTTGGTAACAGAACCTTATTAAATACTTACTTTGTTAATTGTTTGCAAAACAACATGTTCCTCAATTTGCCATTATCTCCTTAAAAAAACTTCTTTTCACACTTGGTATTTCTATTTCCTACTTTGTATTTTTTTTTTTTTGTCATATTTTACTTCTATGTGTGTTATAAACATTGCAATTCATTAGTTTTGCCTAAATTGCTTATTTTACATGTATGCATGTTTTGTGTATGTTTTACACATGGATGCATCCACATTCGTGTGTGTGTGTGTGTGTGTGTGTGCGCGTGTGCGTGCTCGTGCTTGCATGCATGCATGCATGCGTGTCCACGTGCAGATGACAGTGTCAGGTGCCTTCCTCTGTTTTCTGCATCTTAATTATTTTCTTCTGTAATACTATTATTTTCTTTCCCTCCATCTGTCCCTCCCTCTCTTTCAAGATTTCAAGATGGTCTGTCTGTCTTAGAACCCTGTGTAGACCATCATGCTGCCCCCAAACTCATGGAGATCTGCCTGCTTCTGCCAATGAACTGCTGGCATGGACCACCATGCCCAGCTGCTTGTATTATTATTATTACTATTTAATTTTTAATTTTTTTTCTTCAAGACAAGGTTTCTCTGTGGAACTCTGGCTGTCCTGGAACTGACTCTGTAGTAGACCACATTGGCCTTGAACTCAAAGAGATCCCAGTGGCTCTGCCTTCCAAGTGCTGGGATTAATGGCTTGTGCCACCACCACTAGGCTTTTTATATTAAGTTGTGTGTGTGTGCATTTATGCACCTCAATTTTAATAATTTATTTAGCTAGTTATTAGTTATGTGCACGGGTGTTTTGTACATTTGTATACCACATCCACCCCCGATGACAGCAGATGCCATAAGTCAGTGTTGTATCCTCTGGGTCTAGAGTTACAGACAATTGGAATGCATGTGGGTGTTGGGAATTGAACCCAGGTCCTCTGGAAGAGCTCTTATCTGGGATGCCACTTCTCCAGCCTCCACCTGTGTGCCTGTATGGTTTTTGTTTTTCTGTTTGTTTGTTTTAAGATAGTATCTCTTACTGACCTTGGAGCACACGATTTTGGCTAGGCTGCCCAGCCTGCAAGCCCATGGGATCATATATTTCTCCCCACCTTCTGCCTTCCCCCCAGTGCCAGGGTTCCAAGTGAGTCCCACCATACTTGGCTTTTATGTAGGAGCTGGGATTCTGAATCAGGTCCTCAGGCTTGCATAGCAAACCTTTTACATACTAAGCCATTTCTCCAGCCCCAAGCTTCTTATTTTTTAAAGAAGTTTTTGGATGAGAATGTTTTAAAGCATGTAGTGGCATATTTATATTTCTGGCACTTTATATATATTTTTAAAAATCTATTTGGAAGTAATCTTTTCCACAGTATTTTCTACTTGTTTTTCCCCTCTCACCACCAGGTTTTCTCTGTGGAAGACCAGTTATACTCACGTATATTACACTTGATAGTCTTCTCAGGTGCATTAGTGGTTTATGTTCATATATGTCTATGTGAGGGTGTCAGTCCTCAGGAACTACTGGAGTTGCAGACAGTTGTGAGCTGCCATATGGTGCTGGGAATTGAACCTGGGTCCTCTGGAAGAACAGCCAGTGCTCTTATCACTGAGTTGTCTCTCCAGCCTGTGTTTTGTTTGTTTTGTTTTTGTTTTTTTAGTCTGTTCCTCTTGGTGCATCATTCGATGTATTGCTTTTTTCATATTTTTTATTTTCACCTTTTTTCTACAATGTTTAATCTATAGGAAAAATCCTATCTTGTGAAATTACCTTTTCAGATACTGTATTCTTCTTTTGGAAACTCTCATTTTGTATTGGTCTTGCTGTGTTCCAGACTATTCTTAGCCTCCTGGCTGCTGGGATTGCTGCTTTGTGCCAGTGTATCCACCGTAAATTTAGTTTCAGACACTGAATGTTAGATTATTGAACGTCTGTATTTTTTCTTTTTAAAAGGAAATTGTTGAGCCCAGCTGGGCAGTGGTGGCACACGTCTTTAAATTCCTCTCTGGTGAGGCAGAGGCAGGCAGATCTCTGAATTGGAGGACAACCTGATCTCCAGCATGAGTTCCAGGACAGACAGAGTTACCCTGTCAAAAGAGAGCGGGGAGGGAGGGAGGGAAACAACAATTGTTGAGCTTATTTTGCCAGGTTTTGCAGATCAACTTCATACTGTTTTCATGGATTCTTAAAATTTACTAGAATAGATTTCAAG